GCTGTACGAGGCAGGCAGGGAGCGGAATGAGGCAGGAAGCTGTACGAAGCAGGCAGGGAGCGGTACGAAGGAGGGATGGGTATTTGGAAGCGAGCGGTATGAGGCAGGCAGGGAGCGGAATGTGGCAGGAAGCTGTACGAGACAGGGAGCGGAATGAGGCAGGAAGCGGTACGTTGACCGGAATAAGGCAGGAAGGGTGCAGTATATCGCAGAAAGGGGCTTGAGGAAGGGGGCAGTATTTGGAAGGGAACAGTATGAGGCAGGCAGGGAGCGGTATGAGGCAGGCAGGGATCGGAATGAAATAAGAAGCATTATGTGGCAGGCCGGGAGCATTATGAGGCAGAGAGGCGTAAAAGGCTGGATGCAGTATAACATCCCTGGGCACTATAGCATAGCCAATCCACCCTAACCTATACATCCCTGGGCACTAAGGGACAATTTAGCACGGCCAATCCACCCTAGCCTATACTTCCTGGGCACTACGGGACAATTTAGCATGGCCAATCCACCCTAACCCACACATCTTTGGGCTGTGGGAGGAAAGCAGAGCACCCAGAGGGGGAGATATGGGGAGAATGTGCAAACTCCACACAGTCAGTCGCCCAAGGGTGGTAATTGAACCTGTGTCCCTGGCGCTGTGAGGCAGCAGTGCTAACCACTGAGCCACCGTGCCACCCTCAATAGAGCAAATATAGTTAATTTAACATCTCTTCCATTTTTAATGGCTGCAGATCATGAAGCTGCGATAGGAAATGACCATTCGTGATGTATTACATAGCATACCTTGTCATGCAGATGCAGTATTAAATATTGATCAGTGGAAACAGAACAGAGATTTTCCTCCCACCTATCCCCTCCTCCCACCTCAAGCCCCACCCCCATCTCCTACCTACTAACCTCATCCTGCCCCCTTGACCTGTCCGTCCTCCCTGAACTGACCTATCTCCTCCCTAACTCCCCACTTACACTCACCTTTACTGGCTCCATCCCTGCCTCCTTGGCCTGTGTGTCTCCTCTCCACCTACCTTCTCCTCTATTCATCTTCTATCCGCCTACCCCTCTCTCCCTATTTATTTCAGAACCCCCTTCCCCTCCCCCATTTCTGATGAAGGGTCTTGGCCCGAAACGTCCTCTGATGCTGCTTGGCCTGCTGTGTTCATCCAGCTCTGCACCTTGTTGTCTCGGATTCTCCAGCATCTGCAGTTCCTACTATCTCTGATTCAATTTAGACCCGAAACGTCAGCTTTCCTGCTCCTCTGATGCTGCTTGGCCTGCTGTGTTCATCCAGCTCTACACCTTGTTGTGTCAGAGATTTTCTTTGTCATTTTGGCCAAGTTACTGAACTTCCTTACACATACAAAGGCACCCAACTTGGAATAGTAGCTGCCAATGTGCTCCATGACCATCCATTCAATCTAACGCAAAACAAAGTAAACACTTCTTGCACTGTTTATGTCCTTTTGGAGAATTTGGCACAGAAAATAACCTGAGCAATTTTTAAAGAGCAGGAACATACATGTTAAAAAGAACAGTTTATGGGATGCTACTATATTGAAACACTTAGTTAGTAATGGGTACTGTATCTATTACTTGATTAAGTTTTCCAATCCTTATGTTATTCTAAACTCCCATTTCTTTTGTTTGTGTTTTATCTGTAGTGTCTAAATAAATTGTGTTTTGCTTAATGTCGAGTGTTTTGAGCTCCGAAACACGCAATTCACATCCAACTTTAAAATAAGGAAAAGTTTGGATCTAGGCTACTTTTTAAAAATATTTGGAGGGGTCTGTTCTGGTCCTTGACAACGTAAAACAGAGATGAGTCAAATTGATCCTCTCACAGAGTTGTGAGCCTTTGGGTCTCTCATCCCGAAAAGGTACAGGAAGCAGGCTCCTTGGCTATTTTAAAGGAGGAGATAGATAGATTATTGCGGAGTGAGGTGTTGTCGGGTTACTGGATCGGGCAGGAATGCAGTTTGTTGCTGCTACAATCAGAACAGCCTTCATTGTTTTATTTTCCTTTATTCATTTATGTGATGATGGTGTCGCTGCCTGGGCCAGCATTCATTGCCCATCCCTAATTGCCCAGAGGGCAGTTCAGAGTCAACCACATTGCTGTGGGTCTGGAGTCACATGTAGACCAGACCAGGTAAGGATGTCAGTTTCCTTCCCTAAAGGACATTAGGGAACCAGATGGGTTTTTCCTGACAATCAACAATGGTCATCATTAGACTCAAGTTCCAGATCTTTATTGGATTCAAATTCCACCACCTGCTGTGGTGGGATTCCAACCCAGGTCCCCAGAACATTAGCTGAGCCTCTGGATTAACAGTCCAGTGATAATACCACTAGGTCTTCACTCCCGAGGGAATGAATGACCTCCTCCTGACTTGACCACACGCGTGTCTTGCAGCATGTAACACCAGCTCAGATTCTGCTGTGAAAAAGAAACTCACAGATGGGTGCAATGCAGTTTCCTTTATTTGTGAAGCAGAGTAAAATGCAAATTAAAATTCTTAGTCCCACTTCATTACCGTTTGTACACACAGAGCCTGCACTCTGCCACCACAGAGAGCCAACCAGACCTGTTCAGCGAGGGAGAGAGTGAAGCCCAGATGCCAGGAGGGGATTGTCACAGTGAAGAGAGGAACCAGAACAAGGGTGCTGGAGTATCAAGGTGGGGAGAGAGTGCGGGCATTACACCTTGAGGGTGAGGCGGGAGTGGATTAATCGGAGACCCGGTATCCGTTAAAGGTCAGGGAGGCTTGCTGTCTCAGCACAGTCCCTTTCTCGAGCTGTATGCACACGGTGTCCCCCTTAGCGAGGAGAATGAGGTCAGTGCGCTCGCCAGACTGCGTGCTACCCTGCGAGAGGTCACTGTAGATGGAGCTAACCTTGACGTTGTTCCTCATGAGAGCAACGGACGTCTCCACTCCCCGGGCCGGCAGCGAGGTGTAGACGAAGGAGTAGACACCGGCAATGGGGCAGGTGAAGATCCCAGTGGTGCTGTTGTAGCCCTCCTCTCTGTTCAGAGAGACCTGGTCGAATGCGAAGACAACATTGGGTGTGTTTATGCTGTTGCCCTCCGAGTAGGAGACAGAGAAGAGGGCGGCATGATGGTCATGAGCTTCTGTAAGAGGGAGAGGGGAAGAGACCATGTGAGCTCCTAAATATCAATTGTTAGAGGCCTGCAGCACAGAAAAAGGCCCTTCATCCCATCGAGTCAATGCTGGTCAATTACAACCACCTAACTATTCTAATCCTATTTCCCAGCACTCACACCTGTGTGCCTTAGCATCACAAGTGCATGCCTAAATACTTCTTTAATTTTTTTTATATAGAATCCCCACAGTGTGGAAACAGGCCATTCACCCCAACAAGTCCACACCGCCGCTCCGGGGAGTGGTGGGGGAGGGGGAAGGGAGCTCAGAAATAAATAGAGAGAGGGGTGGGGCTGGGGAAGGTAGGTGGGATGGTGATAGGTGAGTGCAGGTAGGGAGTGGTGGGGATTGGTCAGTGAGGTGGGAGGAGTGGATAGGTAGGAGAGAAGATGGACAGGTTGTGTCAGGTCAAGGAGGCAGGGATGAGAGGGAGGGTTGGACATGGGATGAGGCCGGGGGTGGGAAGATTTTGAAACTGGTAAAATCCACTTTAAGGCCATAGGGCCGTAGCTCCTGAGGCAGAATATGAAGTGCTATGGGTCCCTCCCATCTTATTGATCACTGCCTACCTGCACTCACCTATCACCATCCCACCTACCTTCCCCAGTCCCACTCCTCCTCTCTATTTATTTCTGAGCTTCCTTCTCCCTCCCCCATTTCTGAAGAAGGGTCCCGACCCGAAACATCAGCTTTCCTGCTCCTCAGATGCTGCCTGGCCTGCTGTGTTCCTCCAGCTCCCACACTGTGTTATCTCAGACTCCAGCATCCCTAAAATAGCTTGTTCACCGACTTTGATGTTCAATGGAACAATCTACGGTCTAGGCAACAATTTGTCGTTCAACCAGATTACACTTTATTCTCTCGAAACGATGCATTCTCCAACTCACCATCATGTTCATGACTTTCCAGGACAGCTAGTCTATCCTCCAGAGCATGCACGTCCAAAGCCAATCCAGCGTCCAACGCCTACAGCAAGAGAAAAAGAGCAAAAAACGTGCAGAAAATATTTTCCAACATTCAGGTTGGAACCAGGTGGGGGATTAGATGCAGAGTAAAGCTCCCCCTCCACTGTTCCCCATCAAACACTCCCAGGACAGGGACAGCATGGGTTTAGATACAGAGTAAAGCTCCCTCTACACTGTCCCCATCAAACACTCCCAGGGACAGGGGGTTAGATACAGGGTAAAGCTCTCTCTACACTGTCCCCCATCAAACACTCCCAGAACAGGGGGTTAGATACAGAGTAAAGCTTCCTCTACACTGTCCCCCATCAAACACTCTCAGGGTCAGGGGGTTAGATACAGAGTAAAGCTCTCTCTACAGTGTCCCCCATCAAATACCCGTAGGACAGGACAGTATGGAGTTAGAGAGTAAAGCTCCCTCTACACTGTCCACTCCCATCAAACACCCCCAGGACATGAACAGCATGGGGTGAGATACAGAGTAAAGCTCCCTCTACACTGTCCCCCCGATCAAACACCCCCAGGACAGGGACAGCACGGAGTTAGATTCAGAGTAGAGCTCTCCCTCCACTGTCCCCCCATCAAACACTCTCAGGATAGGGACAGCACGGGGTTAGACACTGGCTAAAGCTGATTCTACAGGGTGAAGATCCTTTTCTGCTATGTGTCTGCTTGTGTTTGCCGGGCGATTAGGTGGTGGGGGTGGGGGTGTTAATATGTGCCTTTTCACTCAGCCTGCTTTGTTAAGATTACCTTGACGTGGGCCCATGCTGTCGAGGACATGCGGACTTGAATGATGCTGATGATCAGCAGGATCCCCTGCGGGAAAGAAGAGAGAAATCAGAATGGGACACAAAACTTCACCCGCGGGAAGGTCCGGTTGACTATTTCGAGGAACTGAATCCTCACTCTGTGAATGGGGAACTCACTTTCCCACAGGTTAGCATGTTGCTGGCTGAGAATCCCTCGCCTCAGCTTCTCCTTCTCTCTGCACGTCTGAGTCCCTGTCTCGATTCTCTCTCTCTGCTTCAGACGCCGTCTGAGCCTTTTTGTGCAAGTTTGAAGGGGGAGGAGTCTCAAAATTTGCTGGCTCATGCTTTCTGTAATCCGATCCTACCCCATCATCATCGTCCAATCTTCCCCAGGCTGGTCCCAGTGCCAAAAACACTGAGTTCTTATTTCCAAAGCTAATATCTAATTACCGAAACAATGAAGTCTGCTCAATGGCCCCAGCAACGACACACAAGGAGCTCAATACCATTCAGGACAAAGCAGCCCATTTGTTTGGAACCACATCCACAAACTCCCTCACCACCGGAGCTAGTCACAGCAGTGTGTACTATCGACAAGACTGCACTGCGGAAAACCTTGAATATCCAGCTTCGGAAGCCCTCTGGAGTAATTCCACAGATTCGCTGACCTCTGGAAAAAGAAATTCTCTCCTAGTCTCTGAGATAAGTGAGAACTGCAGATGCTGGAGTCAGAGATAACGCAGTGTGGGAGCTGGAGGAATGCAGCAGGCCAGGCAGCATCAGAGGGAGCAGGAAAGCTGATGTTTCGGTTCAGGACCCTTCTTTTCTGACCTGAAACATCAACTTTCCTGCTACTCTGATGCTACCTGGCCCTGCTGTGTTCCTCCAGCTCCCACACTGCGCTATCTCTGTTATTTTGATTCATCCCTATTCTAAGATTATTCCCTCTGCTCCTCAACTTTCCAACAAATGGAAACAACTTTTCCACAAATGGAAACAACTTTCCATGTCTACTCTGTCAAATGTCCTCAGAGTTTGGGGCGTTTTAATCAGATTACCGCTCTTTCTGAACTTCACTGAGGTACAGACACAACCTACTCAACCTCTCACCGAATTCAGACCCTCCATGCCTGGGAGGAGATAGTAGGAACTGCAGATGCTGGAGAATCTGAGATAACAAGGTATAGAGCTGGATGAACACAGCAGGCCAAGCAGCATCAGAGGAGCAGGAAGGCTGATGTTTCAGGCCTGGGATTAGGCTCATGCCTTCCCTGGGACTGCCTCTAATGCCAGTGTGTGTTTCCTCAGATAATGTGCTCAAAACTGTCCAGAGTTTCTCAGTTGGGGTCTGACTGGTGCCTTGAATAGATTTTATAAGTCTCCCTATATCTAGAGGCTTGGAGACCGCTTCGTGGAGCACCTATGCTCAGTTCGCGACAAACGACTGCACCTCCCAGTCACGAACCACTTCAACTCCCCCTTCCACTCCTTGGACGACACATCCATCCTGGGCCTCCTCCAGTGTCACAACAATGTCGCCCGAAAACTGGAGAACCTCATATTCCGCCTTAGAAGCCTATAACGCAATGGTCTCAATGTGGACTTTATGAGCTTCAAAATCTCCCCACCCCCGACCTCATCCCAAGGCCAGCTTCCCCTGCCTCATCCTCACCTCATTGACCTGTCCGTCTTCTCTCCCACCTATCAGCTCGTCCCACCTCACTGACCGACCCCTACCCCGACTTCTGACCTACACTCACCTCAACTAGCTTCATCCCCGCCTCCTTGACCTGTCCGTCTTCTCTCCCACCTACCTGCTCCTCTATCTACCTGCTATCACCGACTCCCCCTCCCTCTATTTATTTCAGAGCCCCCTACCCCTCCCCCATTTCTGAAGAAGGGTCCCCGCCCGAAACGTCAACTTTCCTGCTCCTCTGATGCTGCCTGGCCTGCTGTGTTCCTCCAGCTCCACACTGTGTTATCTCAGACTCCAGCATCAGCAGTTCTTATTATCTCCCTACGTCTATAATGCATTCTTTCAAAACAAAGTCCAACATCCCATTTGCTTTTCCTGTTACCCAATGAACATCAATGCTAGATTTTGTTTTGTGACTCATACAAGAAGATGCCCAGATCCCTCTGCCACGTAACTTTCTGCAGTCTTTCATTGTTTAAATAAAATTTGGACCCTGTATTCCTCCTGCCAAGATGGGTAACCACAGGTTCTCACAAGTTATATTCCATCTGCCTACTTTTTCTTTTTTGCCCAGGCACTGAACCTGTCTCAATCCTTCTGCAAACTCTTCGTGTCTCTCCTGCTGCTTCTCTTATGTTTGCATTACACGGGGTGTGCGCCGCTGTACATTCCTAGATTTGTAGATCATAGAATCCCCACAGTCAAACCAACAAGGCCACACTGCCCCTTCGAAGAGCATCCCATTCGCCCAGCTTCCCACATCTAACTCACACTAACCCACACATCCCTGGGCACTATGGGACAATTTAGTACAGCTAATCCACCCTAACCCGCACATCCCTGGGCAGTACGGGACAATTTAGCTCCGCCAATCCACCCTAACCTGCACACCTTTGGACTGTGGGAGGAAACCCACACAGACAGAGGGGCAGAATGTACAGAGGCAAAGCATTCCTCTCCAACATCAGCAATTAAGGACAGGAGCCAAGTGCTTGCCCCTCAAGCCTAATCCACCATTCAGTTAGAATCGAAGGGCTGGAACCAAGATTCAAATCCATGTTTTTAGCCAGCCTCAGATAACTCATGAGTCCCCACTTCGCCCAGACCCCCTGTCGTAAAAGTATTATGGGACACGGAGCGCTAACACTGACTGTTATCTCAGACAAAAAATTATTTCCACTCTCTCTGTCCAAAATGGGGGACCTGGTTTGTTATTAATCATGTTCCCTATTTCTGGCATGAGTTTTATTAAATATCAGCAGCTCAGTGCAATCATCCCCCAAAGTTTTTCACTCCAGTGTATACCCCACGTAGTAATTTTCACCCTTTGAGACCCAGTTGCATTCTGGTGACGCTCTGTTGCACTCCTCGACAACCAGGATATCTTTCATAAAGTTTGGGTTACAGTTCGGAAAAGGTCCTTTGACCTATTGCATCTGCACTGCCGAAGATGACAATAAGTGGCCAACTTTTCCATGCTAAACCTACAGCATTCGCACATCCAAGCACTTTTTAAAGTGTGTGATGTTTCCCAACTAACTACAGCCATGGAGTCATTGAGCTGTACAGCACGGAAACAGACCCTTCGGCCCAACTAGTCCATGCTGATATCCCAAATTAATCCAGTCCCATTTGGCCCCTATCCCTCTGAACCCTTCCTATCCATGTACCCATCCAGATGCCTTTTGAATGTTGTCTTTGTACCAGCCTGCACCACTTTCTCTGGCAGCTCATTCCATATACGCACCACCCTCTGCATCAAACAGTTCCCTGTTAAATCTCTTGAAAGGTGTCTCCTGTTTGTGTTACACTGTCCCTGCAATATGCTTCCACCATTGCCTTTATTAAAAAAAAACCTCCCCAGCAACACGCAGAAACATTCCAGCGAGGATATTTGGACACATTCCAGTTTCACCGAAACCCATCCGACTTGTACCAGAAATGGTACTGAAACTAAAGCCCTCCAGCCTCTGCTTTCCCTTAAGGCACATGCTTATTTGGCCCGTCAAGCGTCTAGACTCGCACAACAAGTAATCTGGAGATTATGACCCTAGCAGGTTTTCTCTTTCGCCAACGACTTAAATTTTCAAAAATTCCGATCCCCCCTTTCGTTTATGACTCGTCGTTGGTCCTGACATAACAGCATCACCACAACCGGCTGTTCGTCCTCCAACTTCGGAATGCCCCACTGATGCTCTTAAGACATCCCGACCCTGGCATGGGTTGGGTTGTGGTGCGTGGAGGCAACTGAGCATCTCCCTTGTTGCCACAGAAGCCCCTATCCCTCACAGTCGAGTTTTCTGTGACTGAAACTCTCCCCAGTCTTTTTCCTCCCCTCCCGCGAAACGGTCAAACACGGTGGAAAGTTGATTTTTTTTTTCCTGCCTGGAGGTCCGTGACTAGTGGTGTTCTACAGGGATCCGCGCTGGGACCTCCACCATTTGTTGTACATGCCTTCGATGAAAATGGAGATGGGTGGGTTAGTAAGTTTGCAGACGATAAAAGGATCAGGGGAGTTGTGGATAGTGTAGAAGGTTATCAAATGATGCAACAGGATATAGATCAGCTGCAGGTATAGGCAGAGAAATGGCAGATGAAGTTTAACCCGGGAAAGCTTTGGGAGATCAAATGTTAAGGAAAAGTATACAGGTAATGGCAGGACCCTGGACAACATTGATGCACAGAGGGATCTTGGGGTTCACGTCCATAGCTCCCTGAAAGTGACCATGCAAGTCGATAGGGTGGTAAAGAAGGTCTATGGCATGCTTGCCTTTATTGGTGGAGCATTGAGAACAAGCCTCAGGATGTCATGTTGCACTTTATAAGACTTTGGTTAGGCCGCACTTAGAGTATTGCGTTTAATTCTGGTCACCACTTTACAGGAAGGGTGTGGAGGCTTTGGAGAGGGTGCAGAAGAGGTTTACCATGATGCTGCTGGGATTAGAGGGCGTGAGCTATAAGGAGAGGCTAGAAAAACTTGAGTTGTTTTCTCTGTAGTGTGGGAGGCTGAGGGAAGACTTGATGGAAGTTTATAAAATTACGAGATGCATGGTTGACGGTCAGAATCTTTTTTCCTCAGAGTTGGAATGTTTAATACTAAGTTTAATACTAAGTATTAGTTTAATACTAATTCAAGATGAGAGGGGGAAATTTCAAAGGAGATGCGAGGGGCAAGTTTCTTACACAGAGAGACGTAGGAGCCTGGAATGCACTGCTGGGGTTTACTGGTGGAGCCACATATGGCAAGGGCCTATAAGGGACTTTTAAATCAGCATAGGAATATGAAAAGAACAGAGGGATAGGGACCAAGGGCAGGCAGAAGGGATTAGTTTCATTTGGCATCATGTTTGGCACAACATTGTGGGTGGAAGGGCCAGTTACTGTGCTGTACGTTTCAATGTTCTATGGTGCAACAAACTGCGTGCTTTCCCCTGACTGGCCATCCCTCCAAAAATATCAAACGTGGTGTATCTTTTTGAGGCTGTAATAGCAGCAGAAAGGCCTTGCACTGCCTGTCCACCCATGTTAGCCTTCCTGATGGGCATGCAATAGCCGCATAGCCCTGACTTGTGGTGTCATCATCCATACTGTGCTTAGC